CCGCCCACACCGCACGTGGCGGCGCGGGGCTGCGGGAAAGGGAGGGGACAGGAGGGACCGGGACACGGGAAACAGGGACCGGCGGGACCGGGACACGGGGATCGGGGACCGGCGGATGGTCCGCCCCGTTCACGGGCCGGAGTTCAGCTGCCGGTTCCCCCAGCGGGCGGCAGCGAGGGACGGGGCACAGCACCGCGCGCGGCTTCGCAGAGTTTTTCCTTTTCCCTTCCCTTTTCATTTCCCCTTTCCCCTCCTCCTCCTTCCCCTCCCATATCTACGCCCTGAAACCGGGTTTGATGCAGCACATCAAACGATGTTTCGCAAAAGGCAGGCGGGAACAACTCGGGTGATTAGGAAACGACCTTAATTTTTCTCCTGCAGGAGACGGAGGGAAGAGTTCTTGGCAGTAACTTTTATATGCAGAGACGCGACAACTTGCTTTCTGCCAAAGGAGAAGAGAAGCAGCTGCTTTTGTGTGCTGTTTAATCTTTAGCTCCAGCGTCCCTCGAGAAAAGGAAGAAAGGAAGTTATTTAGAACAAAAGTCTTGTCGTTTGGCTCCTGAGAATTCAGATGTTACAGTGCGAGGGAAACTGAATACAGTTTTCCACTGGGGAGAGCCGGGGACAGCTCGATCCCACCCCGCACTGCCCAACAACCGAGGAGCCTTGGATTGGGAGCAAGCTCAAGTTTTGTGTTTCCCGTAGGAATTCATCACATCCCAGCACAGAGGAACACGATATACCAGCCTGAAGTCATCTGCTGTGGGTGGCACATGCCCAGCAAGGAGGCACAAGTGAGCTGGCAGGGCAAGATGTGAGTTTAAACACAACTACTTGCTAATGATATCAACTCAAGAGCAAAAAATACCAAGGCATCAACTGCAGAGCTGCCCCTGTGATCTGGCAGCAGAGCTGGAAGCCAAAAGCTTCATCAGCTTTATTTCCAATTATTAACTAAAAGTTTCAGAGAAGCAGAGAGAGGTTGAAAAAACCAACACAGTGTGATGGCAGCTGTTCAGGTCTTGATAGGAGACTTGACAGGAGCAAGAAGACACTTGCCTGAAAGGTCTTGACCATCTCCACTTCAGGGATGGGCAGAGAAAAGGGCAAAACACTGGAATTTGCAATTCTGCAAGTTTTGTTAGGGTATTGTTCGGTTGCAATAATTTAAACAATGTCATCCTATATAGCCAAGAGTGCAGCTCTGGTAATGGTGCCTCACAGCTGTAAAGAAAATGCAGTGCCAACTTGCTGCAATGCCAAAAAAAATCCTTTTGTTAGGCAGAAATGAAGTTGGTTGCAAGAAGCAATGGAAAAATCAGAACATTAAGAAATGGAGGGTAACTCAATCCTTCCAGAGGTCAAGAGACTGGCAAGAACCTCATATTCAGTAGTAACACATACCACACATTCACAGACTGAAAAACAAGCCCAGAACTTCTGTTCTATTCTAATTAATAACTTAAGGGCTTTATTTCAAGCATTGTAGAAGACTAAATGTACTTAGACACTGTCCAGACACGTCAGATTTCTTACACTTAACCACCATTAAAAGGCAAGCCCTTAAAACCTGCTGAAAACAAGTGCAGTGATTAACTGCAAGCAGCTACTCATAACATATGGGTATTTGTAAATTAATTAGTCCTGGATTAATACAATCATGCACTGCATCTCTAAATGCCAGAGAACCAAGTGATGACAGAAATATCCCATTTGTTTTCTTTTCAAACCTTTAGAGAACAGAAATAGGAAATCCTCAAACAAGTTAATATGTTGAAATCTGCCCTAATAAAAGCTATTTGAACTTGGGTTTGTTGCCATAAAGACTGAAACCCCAGCCTGAGAGTGGCACACTTAGTGAGATTAACCTTTCAGTTCCCACTGTCCATTTGTGGAGACCCAGAGAATAATTAAGGCTGGAAAAGACTCAAGATCAAGTCACCATCACCATGTTGTCAACTAGACAACAGCACTAAGTGCTGTTATTTTCACTTTTGCTTTTAACATATTTTATTTTGCTTTTAACATCAGACTTAGGGAACAACTCTATTTCTTTGTCAAAGTTGCTCCTATGTTTAGACACGAGTGAAAGTTTAGACCCAGTAAATTGATCCCTCAGCATGCAAGGAGCAAGGAGCAGGTAGAAAGAAAGGGATGCATGTGATGGGGTTTAAGCAGCAAGTCACAAGACAGCCAAAAAATTGCTCCTGGCTGGAAGCAGGTGCACTCTGCTGGGACAAACACATGAAGAATTTAAAGTGCACAAAATTGCAGTGATGACAGGTAGCAGCCTAAATCACCACCGTGCTGCAACAGACCATGTGAGCAGAGCCATTAATCACTGCATGACAAGATGGAAATACGCCTGTCTGGGGTCTCGAGTGTTGCCCAGCCCAGTGCACAAAAAGACACTTTGCTACAGGGAAAAGGGCACTGCTTGTCCGAGTTCTCCTCGGCATTTCCTGCTGGAAACTCTGCGGGGCCCAACAGAGCAGGCAGCAAACCCCACAAGGCACAGTGACACCACAAGCCTGTGGGGCAGCAGGATCCCGTTCAACCTTCAACACCACACAAATGAATAAACTGCAGTTATATACAGCACATGAGACACACCGTAAAAACACCCATCCCCAAACCTTTGCTATGCTAAGGCAGCAGTTAGAACCAGTTATGGAAGCACAATGGAAAAAACAAAAAAGAGTGTGAGGGATGTCTGAGCATCAGATGGGGGGAATGCTACCAGAGCTGCCTCTGGAGAGAAGTTTCAGGGGCTGGAACATGCATGCACAAATCTCTCATATTGACTTGTAATGTTTGGTCTGGCAGACAAGGCTGACAACATATTGTTTATTCATACAGTCATCATTTTCCCTGGTGTCTGCATTGCAAAACTATACAATCACAGCACCTTGCACAGTACTTTCAGCTATTTCACTTTCCTGGTGCATTGTAGCAGTTTTTGAACTTGCACTGGTACAACAAAGTAATTCTGCGTCCTACTCGACTAGCACTTGCTAATGGGCTTCTTGTCCAGTGCCCAGGTCACCATGAAGTGCTCCAGTCAGGCTTGGCACTGGCATGCCCAGGTTTGACACTCACAGGAGGCATGCTCAGAGCTGGACACCCAGTCCTGTCAGCACACATAGTCCACATGCAAACAGGGCATTCATCAAGCTTCTGTTTCCATCCAAGATCAACAACTGAATTGCTGCTTCTTGTCAGACCACACAAAGGTGTGGGTGTCACCATATTCCACCCACTCCTATCCCACAGGGGCTTGCTGAGTGTCTGCTCGCGTGTTAACATGATTAAATCTGGAGCATGATTCTCTTATTAGGCATCTTCAATTTCTAGTCTACACTGATGTAAACTGTGTATCAATTACTAATAAAAATTACTCTTTTCATTTTAGATTACACCTACCAGTGAGATTTTCTCTGGTCCCCTTAGTTCTATACTAAGTTCAATACTATAATATACTGTCATAGTCTTTCTAACTCCAGTAGGTGTGAAGGGCTGGGTATTATTAAGTCTCTGACTGAAGTCCAGGTACTCTCTGCAAAAGCAAGTAATGTTCTGTTCCTACAAATATGTAAAATACTACATCTGTACATTGGTCATGTTCAAGGTAAAAGGGACAGTGGGAGGCTGTCACACATAGGAATTTTGCCCTAAATCATAATTATCAGTATCACAGATAAGGCAATGCAGAACCCAGACCCATGTTTTCAGGGGATTATGAAAAAAAAAACCTTGTGAAGCCGCTCTGTTAGACAAACTAACCTCCCCCTCATCCCCAGCACATCCTCTCCCCGCCAAGCGATGTGCCACGGCCGTGCCTGCTCAGCCACCTTTACTGCACATGTGGAAAGTTTGTTCTTTACTGTTCAACAGCTGCTTCCGGTGATATTTATGAAAAGTCACTGAACTTTGAAAACAACACGTCCCTGCCCACAGCCAAGCACGGGAGTCCTGCACAGGCACCGCTGGGGAGCAGAGGTAGCAAAAGTTCATTTCCGTGTGCAGAGATGGGGCCAAGTCCTTTGTTTTTCTCACTGGCAGCTACGCTCAGTCTTTGTCCACAAAGGCAGCTGTCTCTGCATCAGCTCTGATGGGAAAAGGGTCCTAAGGGGTAGCCTTGAAAAATCTGCTGCCACACCGAGCTCTTTGAGGGTCAAAGGACCTGATTACCCTGCGTTTTTGGTGGGAAGTCAGTTAAGTCATCCTTTTGCTGTGAGGACATGTGGCTTTAGGCACTGAACTGAGTTGACAGATGAGTCTGAGTGGATTAAGGGTCCAAACAGATGATTTATTTGGGAAGAGCCTTAAATTAGGGCAGCAAACCTGTAAATAGGTAGAGACCGACTGGCTGAGAGCAGCACCTCCTGCACTCATCTCCTACTGTTGCCTCCACTCCTTGGAGAGGAAGGTGATCTGTCTGAAGCCTTCTGGATGGTTTTAGCATGGGAGACGAAGCCTTCTGCGTTCTGCAGTCCAATTTATCAGGAAAACATGAAGCGATTTCAGTAGCAGTGATCATAAACAAGCCAATGCACGCAGGGCAGAATGAGATAGAGTACAGCACAGACACAAAGCTTTCCCAGTGATTAACAGGCATACCACCCACCAAGGCAGGGTTTACATACACCAGCTGGATTACACACAGCCAGGGAAACTTAACCAAGTAATTATAAAGGAGCCCATATCTAGTTAAAACAAAACTAAACCAACCAAACAAACAAACAACCCCAAAAACCAACCAACCAAACAAACAAAAAAAAAAAACCCCAAAAAAAGGCAGGGGAGGCAGGAACAGGGAAAGCACGCAAAACTGTACTTGAATCTTGAAGAACCAGTCAGAACAGGAAGCCACATTCTAAATTTGGTTATTTAAGCTGTCAAAGAGTATTTCTGTTTCCAGCTCTTGAGCAAAGAAATCAGACAAGTACAGGGATAGTGAGATAAGCATCACTGAAAGAACAAACCCCTGCCTTTAAAGCCTTTTGGTCAGCTGCCCATCATGATTGATGATTAGGCTGCCTAGCTGAGAATCCAACACCTATTTTGCAATATTATCAGTTCATTAAACCCTTCCCTCACCAGCCCCACATCCAATCACTGTATACTTTACTTATCATTAAATCTTCGAGGGTCTGCCACAGAGAGGTCAATGCTCAATTACACCTTTTTTACAGAGCCTGAAGCAAAGATGACTGAAGGGACCCAAGCAGGAAAAGAGACACAAGCAACACCAGTGTAGGTAATGTATTATTTCAGTGATGTGTGGAAAAGAAAGATCTAAATCCTCCCAACTGTCAAAACCATCCACTCACCCAATTTTATAAAGGAATGTTTTTGATTTAAAGACACCAAAGAGGTGAACGGCAATGAGTCCAGAAACCCTGGCTCAGATTATCAAAGTACATTTAAGTATCTGAAATCCATGAAGCACTGAAAACTCTGAAGATTCATGTTTAACTTTGAAGTCTTCTGAAGGTCTCACTAGGAAAGGGAATTTCAGAGTTTCCCTTCCTATAGCTTAGAGCACCTGGTTCATGCTCAGCAGGAGACAGAAGCACATATGGAATCCTTAAGGCACCTCCAGGTCAGCCCCTCCTCTGTGACCCTCTGAAGGAGCACAAGTGCATGGGAGCACCTGTCTGGGATTCTAGACCCTTTTGGTAGCTGAAGTATCTGACCCACCTTCATTCCTTTTACTTCCCAGCTTGTCCTTGCCCTGTTCCTCATTCTCCTCTGTTCACATGCTTAAAATGACAAATTCAAAACCACTTTTCACAAGCATTCAGATTTTGAGCGAGCTCCCTGTGTTTACCTGGTAATTTGGCAGTGTGATGATGCTACTCTGCTTGATTCAGCCTGAAGATCACACCTGAAATCATCTCACACATTATTGTGATCCACAGGTATGTCATTGGACTGGACTGAACACGTTGCAACCTCAAACAGACCTTGCAGTGAACCAGCCCTGCAGATACCTGTCACTAATCTAATAAACCCAAATTTTACTGCCAGTTCAATACCTTTGCTCACAGTTTGATGATAAAAGAGCTGGTATTCAAAAATGAAGGCCACTGAATCGTGGCCCACAGGAACATTTCTGGTGGTCAGCAGAGCTGGCAGATGACCAGAACTGTTCTTTATCTCAGCATTACACTCTCCCCCAAGCAGCTGTAATAAATGCCAGAGAGAGGCTGAGCTGTCACTGAAAGGAAAGACAGAAAGATGAATTCAGGAAACACATTCTAAAGATAAGGTTCATACTACAAGAGCTTGGTAATCTCCAGCATGGATAAACACACATTTTCCTGTACACACACAGCCCCTTCTTACTCAAGATCTGGAGTTAACAAACTGTCTTGCACACCCATTAAAGACCCAGCTACTGTTCAAGTACCAACACAGTAAATGTTTGGCAGCTGCAGTCGCAAGCAAAGGCAGCACAAGGAAGGTTTAGTTGCCAGAAGTCTCAGCACACAGCTTTTGGAAGTGTCTCTTGTAACACCAGATAGGTTTTAAGGATAACCAGGAGTGGCAGGAGCTTGCCACAGGAGCACCAAATGGTGGTGACACACATCTCCAAAAGTCACAGCAGTCACATGATGTTGTAGATCCACACATCTCAGTGTGGAGTGTGAATGAGCCTTTGGAACTGCAGTCAATTCAGTCTCACACGACTACCCCCCCCCCATTTCTCACAGGGACTAACACACATTTTACAGCGGGTCTCAGTTTAAAAATCAAACAGGCTGGCTTACAGCTTATTGAGCTGCTGCCCTGTAGAAGGAAGCACATGCACCTATTCCACTTACTCTTTGAAAAACAACTTTTATACTGCTATAAACCATCAGCTCCTGCATCAGACTGTAGTCTTCTGCTCCTAAAACAAAGGTATTTACTCACAGCTTGAGACCTTGAGGCAACTTGGCACATCCAACTGTTATCATGGCAATAATCTGATTTGCTTTCCTTCCCAGTTCACTCCTGGAAGGAACTATTTTGATTTAAAAAAAAAAAAAAAAAACAACAAATCAGAAGGTAACCATACTTGTGCTGCAAAAGGTGTGGGTTTTTTTTATTTTTAAATTATAATTTAACACCACACTCTTGCCTCCACTTGAAGAGGGGAGGACAAGCACATTCTGAGAACCTTTTCAGGTAACAAGCCCCACATTTCAAGCAGGATGTAATCACTTTCTGTGGCACCTGAAGGGAATGACAGGCTCCTCAGCTTTACCTGAGCAAATGGACTTTAGTCCCATAAAAGTTCAAAGAATCCCTCTGAAGTCCCTGGCAGCCTCGCTAGGCAATACAGCTCACCCAATTTTATATGCAGCAGTTACTGAGTAGCCTCAAATGCTGCATTTCAGTAACCAGTGCGGTTTCAAGGCACACAGAAGTGGTAAAATCATGATGGTGTGGAAAGAGAGGCACCATTTAAAACATAAAACCCAAAGAGCAAACGGCAGATCCTGACAGCAAATCCAGTGCAGCTGCAGCACCACTGCTGCCCCTGCCCCGGAGATGTCATTCGTCAGCAAAACAAAGATGCTGAATCCTTGCAACCTTGGCACAGAGCACACAAAACCTGAATGTCAATACCTCAGCAGGTGTAAACACAACTCACAGCTCAATACATGTACATTTTAGGTAAATTTTAACAACCTCGGGATGCTGCAAAGAGCTTGTTAACACAGATGCTCCATTAAGAGTGTATTCAGTGTGGCAGCAGCACGTCTGGGGGACAGATAGGAGAGATGTGCAGGCCAGTTTAGCTCCACAGCCTCCAGACAGCCTAATGAAAGTGTCAGAACATAGCTATGAAGGTAATAAATGTAATAAATAGATTGCTCAGGACATCTGCTTACGCAGCACTGTCTTGGTTCCATTAGCCAAGGGTGACAGGGACTGGCTTGATCAGGGACTCCAGAGCAAAAACCTGGATCTGTGTCAGGGCTTTGGAGATTTCACCCATAAACTGCATGAATGGTCACTGCTACAGCTGGAGAGACACCACCCAGGCTTCCCCCAGAGCAGGGCTTGGGTGTGAGAAAAAATATTGCAGAAGCCAAGCTGGTTTCACCTATTTGTTCAGCTTCAGATATTGGCAGCATTAACTTGCTGGGGTTTTTAATAATGGATAGAAATATTTATAGAAATGAGATCTGTGTTCACTGTACCCAAGTACTTTCCTCAGTAGGAAAATAAACCATTCCTCTTTGCATCAACACAAAAGAGTTGGACAGGAAATGCCATTTTAAGCACCTTCCAAGGATGACTGCAAGATGACACAGGAACTCTCTGCACTCTGATAGCTCTGCCCATCTTTTGGACAGAAGTTTTAAACAGATTCTGCCAATTCCCAAAGCAGAAAGCTTCTCAGTCCATGATGATGCTAACAAGTGCAGACTTGTCAGGTCATTTAAATGCTCTGTAGAGCAGGTTTATGTTTAAACAACATTTTCACACAGTTCTCCCTTCTCTGTGAGACCCAGTCCAGGCAATCACAGGCCTGTCTGGTGTTAGATCTTAAAAAGCACAAGTCAGCAAACAGATCACTTTGTTTAAGTATGGTAATCTTGATGTAATTATGTACAAGCTTAAGCTCCTGTTTGTAACTTATTTCTCTGCCTCTTTGGAGGACATTTTAGTTTGCTGCTCTTCATAGTCTGCTCAACAAACACTGTCCCTCCTGCTGTCCTGCTGCCAGGCTTTCCTGCATGTTCCCCCTCACCTCAATATACATCCCATACCTCATCAGGGAGGAAAGATAAGCAGCAGAAACCTAACACAGGAAGCTCTCTGGATTTTGCTAACCACAGGATTAGCAGTGCTGTTGATCAGAGTGTAACATGTCTTCTGAGAGAGCAATCCCCAGGCTGTGCAGAGACATGGGGACACGGGAGTGGAAATGAAGGCTCTACCCAATGATTGTCAAGACTGACCACTGCAAAAATCTCCTGACACCAAGCAAGTCCATGTGCTTATGCTTAGGTCTTCACTAACTCCCTTGCAAGCATTAACACCTAAGTATTAATACCCTTTGAAAAGTTATCTTATTTATGCAAACACACATTTAGTCCTACCACAGCAACAGTCCTGGCTTCAGTGTCCAGGATGAGCTTGGACATGCCTGATGCCTGACATGCTTAGGTAGCACGTGAACACATTTTTCATGACCACAGGAGACAAAAGGTCTCCTCACCATAAGAATTTTACAAACAACAAAAAAATTCCTACCCCAAACACTGACCACTGACTGGAGCTGCAGCCAGGTCACCTGAATGAAGCCTCAGGAGAACTGGGCCCTGTCCAGGCAAGCAGTGAGAAATGTCAGGCTGCTGCAGAGCACCACCTGAGTGACACTGGAGCTGGAAACACGTCTTTCCTTTTAAGCCAAACTCAATCTGTAGCCTTTTTACTGCCTGGATTTTCAATAGCTGCTACTTGCTACGCTCCTGTGAAAACTGGGGATTAGATATACTTGGGAACTGTTTATGGACATCTGCTGCTCCTCCACAGCAGGACTCCAGGTTCACTACTTACCCCATTTAACTCTATTATTTTTATCCTACTGTAATCAAACACATTTAACACCAACTCCCTTGTTTTCCCCCAGAAGGAGTTTGGTTTTAGTTAGCTCCATGACCCCAGTAACAGGAGTCACAGAGCTCAGATCACCACATCAACAGCAGGTTGTCATTTCCTACCGCAGGAAGTTATTTCAAATATATTTAAAAAATGTTTGTTTCAGACCTAACCTACAATGGTTGCTAAGTGTCTGCAACAATTAAATAACTCCCATCCCTTCCAATACATTATGTATACTGAGATCAAATCATGAATTGATCTTGTGACTGCTGGAAGGCCAAGACTGAAATGAAAAATCAGAGTTTAGCTGAGTTCAATTTGAGCCTTTGGGAATTGTGCTTTCCAGCTTTCCTCTCACTCATGAAAGCTGTAAAATGAAGAAAGAGCAATTCTTAAATCATCACTTAGGGGTTGAAGACTGAAGTAAACAGGGCAGCCACCTTCCCTGAGCTACAGAATCACAGAACTACACTGAAATCATGGGAATGTGTAACCAGGACAGCTTTTTCTTTTGCAGATTCCTCCGAGTTGGCCCCAAAACACAAACCCCAAATCTCATTCAAGAATTTTAAATACTAGATATTATGGCTTCTGTTGCTACCCACTCACACAAACACCATAAAGCAAAGAACCGTAACAGTCAGGGAGCTCATAAAGGGAGAACCATTTCACCTTCACTTCCCCTTTACTCCCTCTGGAGGGAATTTGAAACTTTTCACAAAATCTGACTGCAACATTTTAAGCCAAGAAAGCATTTGTGCCATTGGAGAAGTCACCTGATATATACAATTTTTGCATTTATTAAGTTCAGCTGAAATAATTCTTTTGATGGCTTTGAGGAAAGGAGATAAAGCTTCCAAGACCCCAAGAAGTCTTACCCTGCAGACCATACCTACATTATAAAAATCAACATTACTTGTCACCATTCAATCAGCTGAGTTTCATTGTTTACTTTTTAGCAAGTAACATTTACCACAAGAAGTTCTTTCTGAAGCAACTGATATCAGCATTTACAAGAGGTGAACACCTCCTTGCAAAACAATCCCAATAAAACAAAAAAATCCCTGCAAATTCTCAGTGTCTCCTAATTTTGGAGCATAAATTTGACTATCTGCATCAGCAGCAAATATCCATAAATCCACTGAATTTGCTATTTAAGCAGCAGGTGCCTGTTGGGATCAGGATAACCCTTGATGGCAACAGGGACTTTTTAACCGGAGAAAAAGAGTGTATTAGTCTGGTTAGACCTCTCAGAATACTCTGATGGTGGACTAAATCCCGAGAAGCAACACAGGACACTGGAGGGAGCTACAGAAACAGCAGTTTGGAGAATATATTCACTAGCACCTCTGCCAACTGCTCCCCATATTTATTTTTTAGTGTGCAATCTGACTTTTCCCATTTCCTGCTGCAGCAAACACTTTACTAGAACCCATTTTTCAGTAAGGCTTATTTAAGACAGTTGTGCAACATCAACCACAAGCAGAAAGTGATGCATGTTTGCAGGACGTGCCAGAGGAACAACAAAAGCCCTGTGGAACATTCCATGCAGCAAGGCATCCTCGAGGACTCCTGTGAGTCTCAAGTGACAATCTTACCTTCTGGGCTGGGATCGGCATTCTTCTTCCCCACTGTCTGCCTCCTGCATACATAAGGAAAGGAGAAAAACATTAATATCTTTTAATACATGCAGAAAGCAAAGGCTTGCATTTCACTGGTTTGATTGTATAAGGCAAGGGGAATTTTCCCTGCTCCTGCATGCAGCTGTCACTAGAGAGGAACTCACTTTCTGCTCAGCTGTCACTTCATGTTCTCTCAAA